CAAGTCTAGATATCAAAAAGTGAAAAAAAAAAATTGCACTACCGCGCCAGGGGCATGGGGTGCTAGTGCAAAATTCCTGCAGAGTGAAAACAATCAACTCTCTGAAGATCCTCACTAATGCAGCGCATGGCGCATCGCGCCAGTGTATTTTTTCGGTCCAATTGTCCCACTTCGGTTTGAAAAGAGTAGTTTCTTCAGGGCCCGTTCCTACATAGTATAAATACATCAAAAACGCGATTTTATTGGACTTTTGAGCTACGGAAGGTTGGAGGAACATTGGAGACTCTAAGTCACAAGGATTCATCATTCTTTCCTCAACTCAACACCCGAGTTTGGATTGAATTCACGTTTTCTTATTCCTTAACTCTATTAATGATGACGTTCTCCATGAGTATAGAGTAGTTTACTTTGGAGTTTGACGGATATGGTATTTGTTTGATATTTGTAGATTTTAACTCTAGTTATTTTGCATTTCGTTTATAGAGCTTTGAATTGATTGTAATTTTGTTCACCAAATTATTTAATCGAAAGAGGAATATTTTATGTGATTATCTTTGCATTATTTGTTTGGTTTAATTCAGTGATTCTTTTAAGCAATCGAAAGAGCTTGTTGAAATGTTGATTAAATCAAGTTAGGAGAATATTCGAGAGATGTTTTCCTAAAGACTAGTCCAACGTATTCTTGCATACCTTCAGAGTGCTTTATATTAGTTCACCTAAAAGATTTAGATTTAATCGAAAGAGGAATCGGAATAATAAGCTAATCACCTGTTGAATTCGTGAGAATCGATAGAACTTTAAGAGTGAAATATAATAGTAACAAATTCAGGATAGCAGTCTTGCACCTATCATGTCAAATCCCTTATTCTTCGCCTTGATAATAATCCATTGCTCTACACTCTAGTTTTATGTGATATATTGTTACTTGATTCTATTTTAATAGTTAATTTTAGTTCATAATCATTCCAATCAAAGTGTTAATCATCCGGAATAGTGTTAAACAAGAAATTACTAGAACATTATTTAAATCCAATCCATGTGGATACGATAATTAAATTATACTATCTTTGGCTAGAGAACATCAATTTTGTGTTGTGTTTTGCACTCGTTAAATTTTGGCGCCGTTGCCGAGGATTGGCAATCAATAGTGTTCAAAATAATTTTTTACTGCTAATTCAGAATTTTTTCTTTTAAATTTTTTATTAGTTAACTTGTCTTTCAAGATTTTTTTAGAGCACCTGACAAGTGCTAGGGAGAAAGTTTGAAGAATATAGTCCTGATGTTGAACTCAAGCACTGTGAAGATGGAGCATAATCAACCTAAAAAAACGGTTGCAAAGTTAGCAGCTGAAAATTATTACAAGTCTACTATTTATTTTAAATGTATGTGAAATCACCTATGGATTGACGGTCAAGCAAGTAAGTATTCTTCCTATAGTTTATCTTTTGAAAAGTATCACTCTGTTTCTAGGCCTTACAAGTATGAGGTTTCATGTGGCCACAATCTTAACTATGGATGGAACGAATACTCTGATTATGACTTGAACGAAAGCGTAGTGAGACAATCACCGCAAGAGGAGAATAGTAGTTTAGAAGAGCTTATGTATAAGTTCAAGAATAGTATTGAAGAGCGATTTTTTACAAAATGATGAAGCCATTATGAACCTAATAGCGCAAGTTAGTCAAATAGTAGGTATATTTTTAGAAAGCTTATTGTATTGTGATGATGAATATATGGAGGAAATACCCTGTGAGAATGAGCCTACCGGAGAGGAAGAGCATCCATAGAGAGAAGTTATCCCTCTGCAAGAACACTCTGATTTAATTGAGATGATTGAAAATAAGGTTTTGATTGATTCTGAAGCAATGGAAGAAGAGTTTAAATCCACATCCACTTTTCCACACTTGCAACCTTTAGTAGAAGAGAATGAGAAACAAATGGTCTTGGACATACCACATGAATATTCACGTAACCTTTCTTCTTCATTTTCTTATTCTAACCTTGATCATGTGGATTTTATTTTTGGGGATTTATAGGAAGATGAATGGATTGATCCTGTGAAAGAATGCGGGAACAAGTTGAGGATCATCATGAACGAATAATTCACTCCTTCAAAAAGAGGCCAAGAAAGAAAGAAAAGAGCAGGTCTTGCAGATATCTTGAGATGACTTTGGCCTAATGAGCTCCATAAATAATCTCAAAGAACGAAAACGAGAAATGAATTCAGAATTAGGGATGAAGTTCATAAGTTCTCGAAAACGAAAAAATTCAAGGGAGTTTCCTTTACCTCTTGTTTTTTTACTTGTATGTCATGGGGACATACCACAATTTAAAGTGTAGGGTGAGGGATGTAAATATGTATATATGTTTTCTTTGAGCATGTCTTCGTCATTATTATTTGATGTTCCTGACGATGGATCTCCTCGACTGTCTTCTTGATGGATTAAGGTCGAAACATAAACTCACAAAAATCAATTTTTTTTTTAAATTTGATGAGCGTAAAACACAACACAAAATTATTGCTCGCTAGTCAAATATAGTATAGTTAAATTATCGTCTCCACGTGGATTTAAATAGTGTTCGAATAATCTTTAGTTATTACTATCCAAGAAAATTAACACTTGATTGAATGATTATCAACTACGATTAACTACTAAAAATTAAGCAATTAATAACTGACCACGAAAGACAACAGTTGAGCAACAAAGAAATATCAATGAGAGAAATACGGGTAATTGACTAGACAGGTGCAAGACAATTGACTCAGAGTCCAATTTTTGAATTAGTTCACTATATAATACTGTTGATTCTCACGAATTCAACAGATAATTAGATTACACTTGAAGTTAATGTTCCTCTTTCGATTAAACGTTAATTTAAGTCATTAATCCAATTGAAGCACAGTGAACAATTGCAACGAATAAAATAATAATTTTAGTCTGAAGGATAACTTCTCACGAATATCTTCCTAATTTCTAGTTCGATTAATAGTTCAAGAGGCTCTTTCAATTACCCAGTTGAATCACTAATTTAAACTAGAGCATAAAATGTAAAGAAATTCAATATAAAGCTCTTTTTTGGATTAAGCAAAATAATAAATGACTTCACAATACGATTTAAACTCCATCAATCAATTCAAACAAATGTCAAGAATCAAATCCCTAATCAACTTATCAAAACACCATATCTGTCAACACCCTAAGGGAAATTACTCCATAGCAATGGTAAAATTCATCTTAATAAGGTTTAAAAACATAAAAAATATCAATGCTAATGATTTGATACAAACTCCCGTATTGCAACGATTGTTGGTTGAAGTCTTAATGAATTCTTGTGTCTTCTTGCCTTAGTTGCTTCTCAAATCTTTCATAGGTCAAAAGTCCATTCAAAAAAGTATTTTTGGTGTATTTATACCGTGTAGAAGTGGGTCTAGACGAAACTACTCTTGCCAAGCCAAAACAGGAAAAATAGTCTAGGAAAAATGCACAGGCGATTCTGCCAGCAAGCACATTTGCACTGTCGCGCCGTGCCACGTGGCGCCCCATGCAGCGCGGTAGTGCAATTTTCTCAGAGTAAATTTTTCGTGCACTTTTGATATCCAGACTTGGTCCTCGACCCCCAAACGCGATTCCGGTTTAATTTCTTGAGCTTCTACTCAGACTTCAAAGTTACAAATTATTCGATTTAGCTTCAAATTATTTTTTTAGCTCGGAATCACTTCCTGCAAGGCATAAAACACGTAATAAATGTAATTCACTATCATTTAAGCTCAAGCACACATAAAGTGCAGTAATTAGAATGTAACATACGGCTAAAACACGAATTTCTAGCCTACCATCAATAAGTACTTTTCTATGAGGTTGTTTGGCTAAGCTTATAAGCCGGTCAAACTAACTTATAAGAACTTTTCAGCTTATCTATGCGTTTGGTAAAGTTAAAGTGCTTATAAGCCAAGTACTTATAAGACAAAAATAGGCCAAAAGCTATAAGCTTGTCACCCCCAGCTTATGAATTTGTAGCTTATAAGCACTTTAAGTTTGACCAAATTTTTTACTATTTTATCCCTAAAATATTCCTTTTCAAAACAAAACTCCTACATCGATACTCACTACCTCACATATTTTTTCAACCTAAACTGCAATTGTCATTGACTATTTGAGGTAAGCAAATTCTCTATTCCTTAGAATATTTGTATTTATGTGATTGTGTATTAATCTTTGAACTGTATGTAATAAACGGGGACATATCAAATTTTTGGTGTATAGCTTTCTAAGTGATGTGGTGATGAAGACAGTGTTTCTCTTCAAATATTTTATCCTATTTACGTTTATTTTTTTACTGAGAAACTTTTGTCAATGTACTAATTATTATAACTTATGATTATATGATTATCATAAAATAAATTATATTTATCATAAAAATTATCTTATCTAATCACAATTGTATTTAAAATAAAATAAAAAATAGAATATTTCGTATTTGAATCGATATGGAATCTAAAATTTTGAAGAAATTATGCCCTTATAAGTGTAAACAGTTCTAAGGTTATTCAAGTCATTTTAAGAGGAAAACGTGCTTATCAACACTTTTTATCAAATACTGCAACACTTTATTATCAATTTCAGCACTCGTATTCAAACACGTAACTGCTTATTCATTAAATCAGTTCAATACTTGAAATTGCTTTTCAGCACCTAATGCTTATCGGCTACTTCAAATCAGCTAATACAAACGGGCTCTATATAGATTTATTCCACCAGTAATCTTACTGTGTTGAGAGCGCGGGCCTAAGCCACTAGTTACTTTTATTTACTTTAACTGCTACTAAAAGTCTACTTAACGTCATTAAAATATAAAGTGGAGGTATTTTCGACTTTTGATAATTAGCTGTGCTAAGAGAGATTGTATTCTGTGCTTCGGAGGTTTTCATAAACTATGAGTTGACGCAAATATCCATGGTCTTTTTATATATTTCTTTATGTGTTCTTTCCTGAAACCCTTCCCTCTTTACTCCGTCGTTTTTCTTCTGAAGAAAAAAACTCAGTTTCAGTTTCTATTGAGACCCAATTCTTTCTCTTCTCGATTCTTATTTTGCCCCATGGACTTGGAGTCAGTTTACGAAATTGACCTTGTCGCCGGATTCATCTCCGGTAAAGGCTTCCGCCGAGTTGCTCTTCAGGTACACATTTTGTTTCTTAAATTCCAACTTTACAGTTTTTATTTTGTTGAAATAAGTTCGAAATTGTCTGCATAAACCCTATAAAACCCCTGAAAGTCACCTTTTTTAGGTTGGCTTCACATTTTGCAAAAGCTATCGTATCTAGCAAATTACTTTGGGCATAAACTTCCAATTGTTGGAGCAAAGTTTGAGAATCCATTTCTTTAATTCATCCAATGTCCAAAAGAAACCTTAGTGATTCAGTGATAGCAAATTACTTTGGTGGTATGCTTCAATTTGCAGGAGAAAAGTTTGAAAAGTCCACTTTTTCGACTGTAAATGTTGGTGAGAGGCTGTTTTACTCTTGAATATTTGCAATCAAATTATGTAGCACTAATAGGAGTTGGAACAAAATCTTTTATGTAACAGAGGTCATTTTCCAGTTTCAAACTTTATGGTTAGCATTTTGACCAAATAATACTGCTGTCTTGCACATTTAGCTACTTAGTGATATGAAAGAAGAATAATTGGGGCAATTATGGTCTTGAGTTGAAATCATACTTGTTGCTTCAAGAAGATTGTGAGCTCTTCAGACCCGACTCTACGATGTGAGGGCTTTTCCGTTTCATGGCTAGTTTAATCATGATAAAGCATTGTACCCCATTTCTTTGCGGAAATATTTACTTAGAGCAACTCGTTCATAGGTTCAATGTTATTTCGTATATAACATCTGCAGGATGAACAAAATGTATGAGGAATGTAGAGAAGAAAAGCTTTTCTTTCGCGTTCTGTTTCTTTTGCTTTTCCAAATCATTTGAGAAGTAGTAGAGTTGCCTGCTAAAGGTGCTAGTTATGGAAGATTAGTGGCCTTTGAATGGAACATGATATGTGTTTTGTTTAAACTGTTAGTTCCCTGATGAACTATTGAAAGATTCAACGAGGATAGTGTCTGCTCTACATGAAAAACTTCGCTTATTCAACCAGTTACATACTGGAAGTAATGGAGATGCAAAGGATGTTAGGCTGTATGTAATGGCGGACACTACGTATGGAAATTGCTGTGTTGATGAAGTTGGAGCATCTCATGTCAACACGGACTGCGTTATCCATTATGGTCATACTTGCTTCAGTCCGTGAGTATTGATTGTTTATGATTTTCATCATGCTTGTAACTTAGGTTTGTGATACAGCTGACGGAGTTAGTGTTTGGATCTGACTATTTCTGCTGCAGGACATCGACTCTTCCCGCTTTTTTTGTCCTTGGGAAAGCTTCACTAAATGTGCCACTTTGTGCTCAAAAGCTTTGCGAGTATACAATAAAAGCCGGCAAACCTATTTTGGTATGACTAACTGCTACTTCCCATGTCTATTTTCCCTTCTGCATTGGTTTATCATCGGAAAGTTGCAATAAGCATATTTCTCGTGCATTCATAAGAGTGAAGTTGTTTTTCTGTCTTTTGTTACTTTGGTAAATATTGGTACATATTGTGTAGTCAAACTAAAAGCTTGTCTCAGTGATGGTTATTTCTATATCAATTTTGGTTTAGTTAAGTGGTTGCCGTAAGTGTGTTTGACTTCCATACTCCATTCATAGTGCTGGGAGGTTTAACCATCATGATTTTTGATTATTCAGACATATAAGAGCTGTCCGAATTTTAAATTCTCTATCGAACTCGTTAAGGACATTTATTGCCACTCAAAAAGCATAAAAAATATTGGTAGTCTATATCCTATGTTTTTTTTTAAAAAAAAAAGTGATGTTGCTTATAATGGCAGGTTCTTTATGGGCTTGAATATGCACATGCAATCACAGAAATCAAAGCATCAGTTGGTACTCAATCATGCTTCAAAGTGGAATTTTGTTATGCTGATACTATGTCTCCAGTTATAACTCCATCAGAAACTTTTTGCTCAATGAATGGGCAACCAAAACTAAGTGATGGTCAATGTGCAAATAGCTGTACTACTGAGGAGAACAATGCACCATATCGTATTGGAGGGTTGACGTGGTCGTTACCTGTGGGACACAGGATTGAGGACTATTTACTTTTCTATGTTGGTTCAGATGACTCAGCCTTTGCAAATATATCAATGACATACAATACTTGTGAAATAGGTGTGAGTTTTTCTTTCTTGTGTGTAAAGTTGTCATTATTTGCCTTAATTTATTTGGCTGTGAACGCTGTCTTTCAGATGCATTGCCTCTGTTTTTCCTTGCTGAGAATTGTCTCGCTTAGTGTTCTGAGACTGCAAAAGTCCTCCATCAAATACTATCTACTTTTGTATCTCTTTCTACCTCCCAATCAGAACAAAGTTACTAGTCCTTTCTCTTTTCTTTGCTGGTTTAACAAGATGTGTTTTTTTCAGTTTTCTCTTTTGATTTTCTATATCCAAATGGTTGTCCTTGTTTATAATTCTAGTTTGAAGATGAAGAGATTACTAACTTTTTGATGGTCCTGCAATTTTTCTTTTACTCATCTCAAAGAGAAAAAAAGAAAAGAAATTGTTGTCTCTTTTGTCGGAAGGTTCGACTTTCAGTAGGATTTATCTATAGATAATTCTATCTGACGTTAGTTTTGTCTTTTGGATGTTACTGATTGTTGTCTTCTATGTTCTCTGTGTCATTCCCAGTCAGATATGATGCTACGGAAGACCTTTTGGTGAATGACTTTTCTCAGCAGAAAAGGATTCTTAAGCGTAGGTATTATTAGCATCATCCCCTTCATTTCAACTGCTAGATTTTGTTAGCTTTCTCTTTCTTTTATGCTCATGCTTTTGACACTATCTCGGGGTTTCTGTACTAATTATGTTTCTGCAGGTACTTTCTTATTGAGAAAGCAAAAGATGCTAGCATCATAGGGATCTTGGTAGGGACACTTGGAGTAGGTACTTTCTAGTATACATACTTGAACTTTGTAGGATCTTGGACTCAAAAAGTTGCACGATTTGTATGTTTTACCCTTTCAAGTACGTAGAATAAGGCTTTTATTCTTCTATTATTGGTGCAGCTGGTTACCTCCACATGATTCATCAGATGAAAGACTTGATTACCCGAGCTGGGAAGAAAGCCTATACTTTTGTTATGGGGAGACCTAACCCTGCAAAACTTGCCAACTTTCCTGAGGTAAATCACCTCAGTTGCTTGATGCTTGGAGGGTTTTTATTTTTCTGATTTGTGGGAATACTGAAGTTCTTGCTGTATTTCTGCAGTGCGATGTCTTCATTTATGTTTCTTGTGCACAAACTGCTCTATTGGATAGTAAAGAGTTCTTAGCTCCAGTTATTACTCCTTTTGAAGCAATGATTGCTTTCGGCAGGTAGTATTTCAAACTCCGTTCGTACGTTTAGCCACTCATGTTTCTTTTAGTGATCAGTTATTCTGTTAGCCCTACTTATAAACGAAGTTATTTTGTTTGCCTTCATCCACATGTTGTGTAAGCTCATCGCATTACGTGTTTTTGCCACTCATGTTTCTTTCAGCGATCAGTTATTCTGTTAGCCCTACTTATAAACAAAGTTATTTTGTTAGCCTTCATCCACATGTTGTGTTGTGGAAGCTCGTCGCATTACGTGTAACTGGGTTGGTAGCTTTTATTGATCTTGGACAAAAGTAGGGATTAAATTAGGCGGCCACAGGATTGTAAGGACGTAAGGTTGGGATTTATTTTCTAGGATTGCAAAGGTTATGAACCAGTACTAAAGCTAAAGGAAATGGGTCGAAGTACTCAAGAATGGTTTTTTGGGTTTATGGAGAGTTACTTGTGTTGAGGTTATGGCTTAAATAACTGCTTGGAGATTTACAATATGTAAGCTTCGTACACTTGGAGAGTTGGAGCTCCAACACATAGAGAAACAAAAAATGTTAAAGAAGAGAAAAATGGAGATGCTAGAAATAAGTATTTGACTAGGATTTTTATTTTTTAAAGCATTCTTATTCTAAAATATTGTGATAATGTACCTTTCATATACTATTTAAATTTGTACGTTTAATCTAAAAAACTAAAAAATCAGGTTTGCGATTTCTACTAAAATTTAGATACATTGGCCGTGGTATTGTTTTGGACGGGGGAGTATTACTAGTGTTTCCTTTGGCGATTGGGTTATATTATTATTGCCTATTGCAGAGAGACACAGACAGTTCATATTGAGGGCATGTTCTGCTACAATAATAAAGGTTTTATAAGCACTACAGTCTAAGCTGACAAGATTGGGTTGCTCTTAGTGGTGATAGCTCTTGACTTCCAACTAAGGGCTGGGACTTTGAGTAAGTCGGCAGGGGGAGGGGCACGAAAAAAGAAAAAAAAAAGAAACTTCAACCTAAACAAATGTTACATTATCACCTTGAATTTATATTCGTAGGATTCTGTGAATTGTTACTACTTTCAAATCTTAATTCTATAATATGATGATTTCGGAGCCATTTGGTATAATTGAGATCCTTTATATAATAAGAATGTGCCGTTGAGACTTAAGGGTAAGTTCTACAAGAAGTGGTTAGACCGACTATGTTGTATGGGGCAGAATGCTGGCCAGTTAAGAACTCCCACGTCCAGCAGATAAAAGTAGCTGAAATGAGGATGTTGAGATAGATGTGTGGGCATACTAGGTTAGATAGAATTATGAATGAAATTATTCGGGACAAGGTGGGGATGACCCCTGCGTAGGAAAAAATGCGAGAGGCGAGGCTGAGATGGTTCGGGCATATTAAGAGAAGCACAGATGCCTCAGTCAGGAGGTGTGAGAGGCCTTGGGGGTAAGAGTAAGAGTAGAGGTATGCCAAAGAAGTTTTGGGGAGAGGTGATCAGGCGGGAAATGGCGCAGCTTGAGTTAACCGAGTACATGACCTTGGATAGGAGGGGTGGAGGTTGAGGATTAGGGTAGAAAATTAGTAGGTAGTCGTGCGTTTCCCTTTGTCTTCATTAGTTCGATAGTATTAGTGTTAGTATGGTACCCCTTTTATCTTGAGTTTGCTATTATCGCATATCTTGTTCTATTATTACTTGACATCAGTACTTCCTTAGTTTGCTATGTACTCCTTTCATATTCTCTATTGTTATCTAGGATTTAGTTCTCTAAATATATTGTCTTGTCATTACTTGCTATCGGTACTATTTTCATATTCTCCATTGCTATATTCGATTTAGTTTCTAAATATATTGTCTTGCTATGACTTGCTATCAACGCTTCTTCCACCTTCTTTAGCCGAGGGTCTATCGGAAATAATCTCTCTGCCCTTTCAGGGTAGGGGTAAGGCTGCGTACATCCTATCCTCCCCAGACCCCACTTGTGGGATTATACTGGGATGTTATTGTTGTTGTTTGTCTAAGCGGAAGCAGTAATCTTTTTAAATTATTTAATCAATCTTTTCCAGAGGAAGTGAATGGACTGGGGCTTATGTAACCGAGTTTCGGGATTTGATTACTTCTTCCCCCATGGAAGTGAAAGACCAGTCAGAAGCACGATTTTCTTTCATTGAGGGTGGATATGTGGAAGATTTTGAGCAGCAAGGTGCATTCTTCTGCTTACATTTTTCTTGTGGGTAAAACTATACATGCATAGGTCCTGTTCAAATATGAACAAACTGTAGAATATAATTTCTTGAAGGAATTATACAATCACCTTTGCCTTTACTTGTGGATAAGCATGACTTAAAGTTGTGATTGTTATGGATAAGTAATTACAACATAAGTTTTGTTGATAATCCTTTTTCCTTTAGTTCATGAATTAGGTGTTTTTCAATGTATAGTTTTCTTGATATTTTTTGGTCTTGGAGGTTCTCTTTTCGTCTATCCGGCAGTGTAATGGAGTCTCTCTCGATCCTGCAAATCCAATTCACTTATTTCATACCTGTGCTTCCAACACTTGATTCTGGATTGACCCTTCAGGAAAAGCTAATGTCTATTTTTTCTTTGATTTCTACTAAACTTTCCTTGGGGTGTGCCGGGGATTACTTCTGCCTGTATGGTGCCTTTTCTTTTGTTTATTACTTGAAGGCATCTGGTTAAGCTTTTAAATATGTCTTCTACAGATGTCGAAGAAGATGTCGAAGATGGAGTTTCTGCTTTAGTGAACATCACAGAGAAGGCTCTGCATGTTCGTGACAAGGCCACTCATTCTCTAATGAATGGAACAGCTAAATCTGGGGCAGAGTACTTCGCAGCTAGGTCGTTTCACGGCCTTGACATTCATACTGAAAATAATTTTCCCGAGCCATTTTTAATTGGTAAAAGTGGGAGAGCATCAGGGTACAAGAATGAGACTACAGAGTAAAAGTAAATTTTGTGATGATTCCTGCCAGCTAATGCTAACTTGTTTCGGACGAGGTGTAGTTATTGACTATTCCTGCCAGCTCGAGGTGAAAACTAGATGCATCAAAAGGAACCACTATACATACATTCAAAGCTAAATTTTTAGAGAGGCAGCAGATCGCCAAAGGAACCCTAAAGATTGTATTAACTGTTACCGTTCTTAAAAATAATGTTTGGACTGCATCTGCTCTCTAGTTTTAGTGTAATCTGTTATATAGGAGCAGATGTTTATCTTTACTTTCTTGTAGTTTTTTGCTGCATTTTCTTGATGCTTTTGAATGAAACTACTTTACTTCATCAAAAAATGATTGTAATATCAGCGGCTATTCTTGCTTTTGGTCCCAAATGGCTATTTTCCTTTTCCAATCATTGTCTATACAATATTGACAATCTTAGGACCTCCTGTTATTTTTTTGTTGACAATATTGGGACAGTTTCTTTGATATAGTCCTTTTTCTTCTCTTTTTATTTTTCGTAGATGTGGTATTCAGGGCCGCTCAAGGAGAGGCTAGTAAGTAAAAGCTTAACATTAGCCCCCAAAATTTATTTTTGCTCGGACAATATTGAAGTTTGTAGAAAAAAGTATAAATTTTTATAACAATAATACAAAAAGACTACTTTTAAACATCAGAAATATTTAAGAATTTCGAATTAAATTACTCAGATCTTTATATTAATGAATAACTTTTTTTTACAGTAACATCCAAAGTAATATATTGCAAATACATGGTTGACATCTTATTAACATGAATTAATATTTACTAATATAAAGAATAATTTAAATTATGTGAAGTTAAAGGTTTTATGTCGTGAGAGCTTCTCTCTCTAAAACAACTACACAGTCTAGCCTTCCTTCTTTTTTCATACCTCATACACAACAAACGCTCACTACCTCACTAGCCATGAATAATCATATACCACCAAGCCTCTCTACTAACGATCTTATAGAACCACCGGATATAGGAAATGTGCAAATCGATGATAAGACAAACACCAATTCTCCAACTTCCTTCCTTCAAGCCTTAATCTACAATAAACATCAATCAGCAACCCCTCATATCCAATAGTGTATTACACACTATTTTGACCTAGAGGATGAGAGTATTGCAACCAATCAAGATGAAGACATATTTATCCCTATAACGACTGAAGATAAATGTCGTTTATATATGTCTTCAATACTCCATAATTGTTAAGCTTTCTGGTCGAAAAATAACTCACCAAATCCTGCATGCTAAACTGGTTGGACTATGGAAGCCAACTGAGGATCTTCTTTTAATAGATTTGGGATCAGACTTCTTCTTGATCAAATTTCAAAAGGAGGAAAATATGCTTAAAGCACTGCATGAGGGTCCTTGGTTTGTTTTAAATCATTTCTTGTCTGTTTGAAAATGGGAGCCTAAATTCCATGCGTCCTCTACGCAACTTACGTACTCAGCTATATAGGCTCGTCTACTAGAACTTCCAACAGAATTTTACGATGAGCAAATTCTAAGAAAGGTGGGTTCTAAACTAGGTCAATTACTAAAGGTTGATGCATCTACCTCCTCTACTGCTAGGGGAAAGTATGCTCGAATATGCATTGAAGTGGCCCTTGCGAAACCTCTTAAAACTCATCTACTCATTGGACACCATTATCAGATGCTACTTTATGAGGGACTCAATTTGCTGCGTACAAAGTGTGGGAGATTTGGACACGCCACAATAAATTGCTAACACACACCACCAATACCTCTACACTCCAGTACTATTTCAAACACTAGTTCCACCCCTAACACATCAACTACAAAAACAGTCCAAGAGTCTACATGTAAAATAGTTGACTTTCCAAAGAAGCAACTACCACGGTACAACCCTAACCACCATCAAACCAACACTAGGGCGGCGCCAGAGGCAGTCAAGCTAGGGCAGCATCCAGGTAAGTCTCCTTTTACTTTTGGGCCTAGCCAGTCTTCTACGACTATTGGTCCTACAATTGGGCCTACGACTAGGCCTACTAAGGCTCATAAAATCACTAACACAAACTCACATAATAAGCTCTTTAGTAATAAATTTAATAATTTGGCTGGTCTGCATGATTTTACTGAATCCAATATGGATTTGGACACCTCCACATTAATAGGCCCAATATAGAATTCCTCAATAACCAAGCCCAAAAACAATTCACTAGAGGATAATTCTACTACAATCTGGCCGGCCCTTTCCACCAATCACACAAACCCTACTCGTAATCATAAATCATTAACACTTACTACTCCTCTAATAGACTTAACTTCTCAGGCATGCCTAACTATTCCTACACGCCACCTAAGGAACTCACTATAGAGAAACAACCCATTAGTAATTCTAACCATTGCCAAAGCGACAAATCTGCTTCTTCACATGACCATTTAACTACACCTGCACTACACGTTGATAGCAGCAAAGCAAATTTGCATGCTATAGTAACCTACGTCCACCATCAACCTAGCCAACCTCAATTCCCATACAAACAAAATGATTATCTTCCATATGAATCTACACAGGAGATTCCCTCTACTTCACAATATACTAGTTCAAACTCAGGAAAACCTGCACAATCCTCTAACGTATCAACTTCACCTTATACTCCAACAGATAGTAGCCATGCAACGACCAACATTTCCACCAAATTCAACCAACACTTATCTGAGATATCTAGACAACAATCATTTCTTCCATCTGCCAAGATTGATCATGCAAGGCCCTCAACTACCACACATAACAACTCCGCTAGTGTACACATCCCAGCAAACCACGATGCACCTTCCACTCCAATCGTGGTTAGAGATGGATTTATAGGGCCATGCATTAATATTCACAATGGAGATCAACAACCAAGAAGTTGTTCTCCTACTTCAAAATCCAACGCACTTAGCAGAAATAGTAATAGAGGGGATGAGGTTAGGGATGGAAGCCTATGCTCAAAACCAATGGTACAATACTCAAACTCCCTTCCTACCGGAGAACCAAGCATCAACATCCAACACACAACAGTGGACATACCAAATGCCTCCTCCAATTCCAATGCTCAACTCAACAACTCTCCTGCCTTTCTATCCTCCACATCACATGGGGCAAATCTATGCATCATGGTTCCAGAACCTAAACTCATTCAACCCACTATCCCATTCTCCACTCCCAACAGTCCCATAGAGACATTGACACCAATGGAAAGCCCACCACATACTCCACCTCCATCTCCCAATGTATTAGATGTAGAAACAAGGCAAGAATTAGCTCAGATCTTAATGGAGCTAAGGGAGACAAAGACGGAGTTCCTATGGTTAAAGGGAATCCATCTTTACAACCTAAAAGAAGAGTGTGAAAAAAAGTTCATTCTAAAGTGTCCTCCAGACATGACCACATGCAGTCTAAACTTTCGAGTAACAAACAATCGAGCAGCAGGGAAATACTTAATGGTGGTCATTCCCACACTTCTTTCTCCTCCTCCAGTATTGGATACTCAGGGTCAGATGACAACCTCAGTTGTCACCCCTCTAGTTCCGACTTCCATGCTCACCACTCCTCAAATTAGTATCATGAATTTCATAGTCTGGAATTGTAGGGGTTCTTATAATCCGAAGTTTAGATGCCATTTTAGCTCCCTATTAGATAATCATAGGCCAACCTTAGTGATCCTTTTGGAAACTCACATGCATGATCATGAGAGGCTTCATGAGGATTTTGGGTTCTCGAACATGTCCCAGGTTCCAGCGAATGGGTTAATTAGAGGGTTAGCTGTCTTTTGGCATGAAGCTCTCATCACGGTGGAAAAATTGTCTATGTCTGAACAGGAGATCTACTGCCTCATTCAGGTACGTTATAATACCCCTAAATGGATCCTTTCTGCTATATATGCTAGTAACTCTTTCCATTTATGTACATAGCTTTGGAAAAATTTAATGAGATTACATGATAACTACAATATTCCTTGGCTTATAGGAGGTGATTTTAATGATATATTATATCAAAGAGAAAAATTTAGTGGACTGCCTACTAGTACTAATAGGGCGGACAGATTCATTAATTGTGTTAACTATTGTCAACTAATAGATCTAGGATACAAAGGTAGTCATTTTACGTGGACTAATAAGCGTAGAAATGGACACACTATCCTTGAGAGACTTGATCGTTTCATGGCCAACTGTGATTGGATAAACATGTATCCTGAAGCTAGGGTATACCTAGAACTTATTATGACCATTGCCCCCTCTTAATAATATTAGAACCCTTAATACACATCAATAGGAAAATTTTCCGCTTTGAAACTATGTGGGTGTCACACCAACAATTTTCAGACATAGTAAAAGTAGTCTGGGCTAATAATGAGCCTCTTTTAGAAACAACAAACCATTTTCAAGAAATAGTCCAAAATTGGAATCATTTAACATTTGGGAACATTTTTAGTCGTAAGAGGAAACTACTAGCTAGGTTAGCAGGAATACAACGCTCAATACATTATCCTACTAGTCTGTTCCTTCAGAATCTGGAAACTCAACTTACTTCTGAATATAGTAGTATACTTAGAAGTGAGGAGGAATTCTGGAAATTAAAGTCAAGATTAATGTGGTTGAATAATGGTGATGCAAATACAAAGTTTTTCCACATGTCTACTTTAAATAGACGTAGGAGAAATAGAATAATTTCTTTACAAAACTCAGTTGGCAACTGGTGTGTTGACCAGAAAGAGATTTAGGATATAATCCTAAAGTACTTTTCTAACCTTTTTACTACAGAACAGGAGAATTCAATTCGTATTATACATGAATCCAATAATTATAACCTTAATTCACTAGATTTAATTTCCTTAGAAGAACATTTACAGGAGGCTGAAATTACTCAAGCTATCCAAAGTTTTGGTCCATATAAGGCACCAGGTCTGGATGGTTTTCATCCTTTCTTCTATCAAAGATTTTGGGCTCAGGTAGGACCTAAGGTGAAATATTTTTGCAAAAACACTTTTGATACAGGTCTTATACCTCCTCCATTAAATCAGACCTACATTTGTCTTATTCCTAAGGTAATGCATGCTCAAACACTTCAACAATATAGACCCATAAGTCTTTGCAATACCACTTACAAAATTATTACCAAAATTATTGTCAATAGACTTAAGCCTATTATTTCTAAAATAATAGGTCCCACGCAGACCAGTTTTCAACAAGGTAAACGAGCTTCGGACAATGCTATAATAGTTCAATTACATCATTTTACAAAAATGAAAGGAAAGACTGTCTATATACTTCTAAAACTAGGCCTGGAAAAGGCATTTGATCGTTTAGAATGGTCTTTTATTAGGAAAACACTTGTAT